AGAGTGTGTGGCCATCAGTTTTCAAAGACACACAGTTGTTTTCCTTGGAGGAGAATGGGTGCTTCTATGACAACAATTGAACATTGATGTTCTTAATGCTGCTGTCTGACTTGGATTGTTCTGGCCTCTTTCTCTCTGAATTGTGCCTTTGTTTTGTGGTTTTCAAGTATATCTTGAATAGAGTAAATCTTAAGCAGGCAAACACCAGCCATTTCATAAAATACACCATGAAGAGTTTTAATTTGTGTGTCCTCAATTTTCTCTTGTGTTGCACCAGAAAAAAAGCTAAAAAAAATCTGGGCTGGCAATGCAAATGACTGGTTCCTTTGCTACGTCAAGCCATTCTGTTAGGGTGGAAGGAAAACAGCTATTCACATAATTTGGCTTGTTTTAATTACTTTTGTGCCTGAAGCTGTCAAAATGGCTGAGAAATTTGGTTTGGGTGTTGTTATAACAACCCTTAGCCTTTTTTTTTTTCTTCCTTTTCTTTTTTTTTCCCCTGATGTTGTCAAGTTCTAACTTTTCCTACTCAAGCTTGCATTTCCTGCTGCTTGGAAAGTGAAGCAGTTGCCTAGTTTTGTTTATAGGATTTGTCACTGAATCTTCCATGCTGGAATAATGCTGTGGGAGAGTCCATACATCCAAGCAGTTCTTTTGAGACTACACTGTGTGAAAACATTGCTATGACACTGGACATCACAAATCCTTTTTTTTAATGAAAGCTTATACCACTGTTATAACACACATTACAAATGAATAGGCTGGGACATCCCATGTGCCTGTGTTTGTGTGTGTGATAATTCTAGCCACTAAGTGACTAGTTTCAAACTCAGTGTGTATGTATTACAAGAGAAGTAGATACTGGGTAGCACTGGGGAGCCTGATATCTGAATTATTTGGTGTTGTCTAATTAAAAAAAAATAAATCCGTGCAGGTATCATAGGCTGTCATTAAAAACCTAAAGTGTCCTTTATCAAGTTAGTGCATAGTGGTCTTACTGCGCAGGTTGGTAATTTCTTTTGAAATCTTTCAAGAGAGAGCCAACTGCTGATAAAATCAATGCGATTTTGTCCAACATCACAAAATAAAAGGCAGCTTCTGCACCTGAGCCTGCAGGACAGTATTTTTACAGTATTTCTGTTGGAAAACCAACATAAATGGAGGCCATGATGCTGGGATCTGCCCATTAGGATTATTACCTTCATTACATGGAGAACTTTCTGTGAATCATGTTCTCAGCAGCAGCATTACAGAGGGAAAGTGTTCTTTCTCCCAGAGGCAATGTGTATTTTTAAAAACAAAACCAAAAAAGCCCAAATTAACCTCTTAAACTTGGGTATCTTATGCAATATTGCAAGGGAGATTCCTCTTTGTTTGTTGTAACCTATTGGTTTTTTTCTGTGTCCGGTTATTTTTATTTAAATCAACTGAAGCTCACACTTGTGATAGGTGTAAAGAGGATTTTCCTTTTCCTCAAAGGATGATTGTTGCATTGCTGTTTTATTGGTTTGCTTTTTCTTAGTAACTTTGAGTGTTATCCTGATGATGTTTAAAGAAGCACTTTAGTAAATCGCCATATTCCAATTCTGCAAGATCATTTGCTATTGGTGATGAGACAGAGTTGAAGGCCTTTTAAAAACCTGATCCACAACTTTCTGTGGCAAAAGGCAAGAGATTCTGGATGGTGTTTTCAGAAATGTTTCTGAGCTAAACATTCAGCATCACCTTTGTTACCAGCACTGCCAGGATGCCTGAAAGCAGCTACTCTGCTACCAGCGCCCGTGTGCATGGCTGCAGCTCTGTGGCAGGAGGGTGTATGCTCAGCCCTGCCTCCAGGCACCCTCAAGATTTGAGGAGCTGTAAAACCGTTTGCCTTTTTCCTCTGCTTGTGTCAGTGGAGTATTTTGTGCCCTCTAGTGATGACCGAAATGTATTACTAGAAGGCTTTTTTTCAGGGAATGTTCATTGATGTGGTGAGAGAAACTGGTTACTGGGAAGAGGGAGGAATCTAGTGCTTACCAGCCCTTGGAAGACGAGAGGAGAATGACTGAAATTTCTGTTGCTGCAGTGTAACGTGCCCGTGATCTGCTAGAGATCTCACTTTACTGAGATATTTCTGCTGGGGCAGTTTCACTTTCTGTCCCCAGTGTGATGTAGCGATCCAAGAGCTGGGGAATTCTGAGTGACAAAAATCCCCTTCTTTTCCTGAACCTCAGCTGTGCTGGAAGGTGGCTGGCTGCTAGTAATCAGTTGTTTTTCTTTTGGGAAGTGGCTGTGATTTTTCATAACTGTGTTGAGATCTGTGTTACTGATCCCTTGGAGCAGAAGTCTTTGGAGAGAGAGAGAGACTTGGCATAAGTTTTGCTTTCAGTCAGAGATGTGACAGACAACTGACAGCTTTCTGTGTATTTATGTATTGTTTCCAGCTGGAATCAGGCAGTGCCTAACCTCTCAGGTGGTGGTACAGAAATCAGAAAAAAAAATCAGAATGAGCAAAGACTCGAAAGACTTTTTGAGTTCTTTATAGTTTCCCTGAGGGATTCTTTATTCATTGTGGCATTCAGATGGTGTCTGGTAAGTTAAGGAAGGAGCCCACGCTGAGTGATGTGAGTGTGAAGACAGACAGGGAAGCTCTCCTACACTGGCTGAATTGTAGAGTGCGGAGGCAGAGGGGCCTGGCAGTGGTTGCTGAAACGTAACTGGAATTGAAGTACCTCTGGGTATTTGTGTAATCTTAATGCTGTTTTAAAACAGTTTCATTCTCATTCAGTAGTCCTAAGGACAGATTTCTAAAACAGGCTCTGAGAGGGCTTATTGCAAATTGAGACTCAGTGAGAGGACTCAGGTTTTTCTACCTCCTTTCCCCTTACCCAGTCTGGGATACTTGTTGTCTGGTAGGCGAGAGCCTCTCCCTGCAGGCATTCTCTTGTAAGTTTTTAGGCCCTTTAGCCATGTGAAATGCTTATTTCTTTCACATGCTTTTGGAAATTTTGCTTTTACTTGTAAATGCTTTTGGAAATAACATCTGAAGTTGTGATTACTAAAACTTGAGTAAGTTTCCAATACACACAGCAAAGCTGGAGAGTTTAGTCAGTGTCTCTGGGGCTTGATGCTCAAATTTTGCACTGTATCTCTTCTGAATTTTGCCAGTCTGCCCAGACATCTGAAGGCAGAAAAAAAGAAAAACCAAACCCAACAGCAACAACAAATAAACCTAAACCACATGCATAAAGAAGTAGGAAATCTCAACTAAGCTATGCGTTACCAGCATGCTTGGACTCCCACAGCGGCTGTCTGAACGTGCAACCTACATGTGTGCTGGTTCTGGAAACTTCAGTCTGTTTGGAGCTGCTGCCAGTAACGGCACCACCCTCCTTTCAGTAGCCATCGAAGATTGCTGCCATTACCTCAGGGGTCTGTAGCTGTTTCTCATGATGCTTTTGGTTATTGCCATGTTTATCTTCCCTGCCTGTATAAATGTGGTAGTGATTATGGGCTGGAATTGCAGTTTAGCCTGTCTGGATTTTATAATGATATAGCTCTGATCAGGACTGTACTGGTGTTTAAAATATGAGAGAATTTATTTTTGCCGTGATCTGGTTTTTAATATTATTATTTGTGTGTGTGAAGATGTTGTGAGAAACATAGAATCATAGAATGTTTTGGGTTAGAAGGGACACAGCTGTGCAAAGTGGTGGAATTAATTCTAGTTCATGGATATGGATTCTTTTTTTCTTTTTTCTTCCTGTCTGCAGTCTTAAAGAATATCCTCACTTACAATAAGGAGTTTCCCTTTGATGTTCAACCTGTCCCACTCAGGTAAGAGAGAACTGTCGTGGGTCACTTTATGTACACATACGTATCTGAAAGGGAGCGTAGCCTGGGACTGGTGTATATCTGAGACACTAGAATTTCTAGAGCTACCTACTTGCTGCATTGCTTTGGGTAAACTGGTTAAAATAAACCTTTGGAATTCTGATTTTCTAGGTACCACTAAAAATCAAGCCCATTCTTTTGGTAAAATCAGGACTTGATACATCCCCACCTCTCTCTGAAATTGCCAGTATTGTCTCTTGTTTTTAGACTGTGTGCTTTCTGTTGGGCTTAACTCCTGCAATCGGTCAGAGTCTGTACGTACAGATAGTAGTTAGTAAGAAGTATGAAATTACATTGAAGCATGTTGCCCCTGCTCTATACTCAGGTGCTGACTTGTGAGTTGAAAGCCAGATAAGGAATGATCTTTGGTCTCATTCTTGTTTCTCATGTTTTACAGGAAGATTTTAGCACCTGGAGAAGAGGAACACTTAGAGTTTGAGGAAGATGATGAGGAAGGAGGAGCTGGAGCAGGGTCTCCAGACTCTTTTCCTGCTAGAGTTCCAGGTAGGGGCACTAGCCTTGCCATGCCAGCCTCTGTAGCATGTGTAAGTTCTGTCTCTGAGAATCTCCTTTCTCCACCTGTCATTTGAAAAGTTTGGGTGAGGAGCAACAGGCTAATGTAAACTCTAATGCTGTATTGGAGAACCACAAAGGTGGCCAGTGGATTTTTTTCTCAGCAAACAATATCTTATTGCAAAACAGTTGTATGGATAACCTGTGAGAGTGGTGCCATCTACCTCAAATAATTAGCCTTTATTCCTTGTTCAAACTTAGAATTTTCATTCCATGCACTTTCTTAACTGTACGATGTGAAGTGTTTAAAATGCATTCAGATATAAATTGTGGCAATGTTTCTATTGCAAGGAGCATTACATCCTGCTAGAGATGTGATAAGTTGTTGCTGGTTATTTTTGTGTTGCATCATGTGGTGAGACAGTGGCTTAGACTAAACCTGAGCTCTGAAAGGATGATGATGGGGTAGCTTTGGTTTTGATAGCTTAAGTCCTTGTCCGTGTGAAAGCACTTGTAGAGCTGGATACACCTACAGATTCTAGAGAAGGTCTTCCTGTAACTTCAGCTTTTGACAACTTACCAGGTAAAGCAGTAGGATGTTCCAGCAGAGGTTCTTTTGGTTCCTGGTGTAGTTTCTTTGCAGAAGGAACAAGTTTCTAGTTTTGGAGCAGGTTGGCAAACTTTGTATTTCAGGAAGGAGACAACAAGTAGGAAAATTAGTACTGGAATTATGGTCGAAAGAGCTGGTGTGTTGCATTACTTATGCCTGGAGAAAACACGTCTCTGTTCTTAGATTTGAGCGATGCATGCTGCTGAGTATGATCCCTGCAGACTATACTGGTGTAGCTGTGCACAGCCTACAGGTGTTTATGCTAAGCTCACAAATAGGCTATAATATATTGTGATGTTTTATTGGTGTTATTTAGTGTCCTGATCCTTGTTGTTCACCAGGATAAATCCATTTATGAAGATGTATTCTGTCTGTCCAAAGTACAGCAGAGAGATCTTGAGTAGCTTTTGGTATGGTGATGAATCAGTAAGGCTGTGACCATTACCACAGTGCCAACAGTTAGAGCTCTGTGCATATAGTGGGCATAGATTCTTTCCTAACACAGCTTCTAAGTTGATGATAGACAGATTTGAGTTTACAGTTAAATCACTTTCAAAGAAGCAGGGTAGCCAAATCAGAAAGAGGAGAGGTTTGGGGCATGTACTTTGTTTACAGAATTATTCCTCAGTTAAACCCATGCTTTTAAGAGGAGGTGAGAGCAATTCCTGAACTTACTGATATTTTACATTGTCATCTACTTAATAAACTGCATATCTGAATTTTATGAATTTTTTTACATCAAGGGAAACTTCCCCACAGCTACAATAAACGCCTGAGGTGGTTTTGTACTGCTTGAACGCAGATCTTGTTTTCCCATTGAATGTAAATTAGTGTGGTGCTTCTTACCTGACTGGAGGTCTGTTGTTCTTTCTCTGGGTGATGAGGCCTAAACAAAAGCAGGTTGCAGCCTTCTGAGGTGAGCCTTGTAAGTGAAGCGGACTTTCTGTATTGAACTGATAGAACTGTGTTGCACTCTTTGCTTCTGTATGCCTTTAATCCATCATGCATAACTGTATTCTCTAACTGACCATGGTCTTGTCTTCTACATGCATGGCTTCATCGTTATCACATTACACCATTCATCTAACCCAGGAGCCAACGAAGGTATGATAACCTTTTAGTATATACAGTTATTTCTTTGGTCACGTTCATGTAGCTGTGATGTTCTTCATTCAGCTCTTAATTTCAACCCTCAAAATACAGTCTTTGATAACAATTATGGTAGTAGTCATCTATGTATTATCTTCAGTGCCTTCAGTAACAGAAAAAAAGGAAGGTCTATTTGTTGACGCACCTTACACAGCTCTCTAGAAGTCCTACTGTGCTAATAAAGACATTCTGACTTGCAATGTAGCCACAGGTAGGGGTTGCTAGATTGTCTGTAGTGGAATACGTATTTGATGGGCAATCTTACACAAAGAGTTCTTATGTAGTTAAATTTGTGTGCTGTATGGAGCTGAACTGACCAATGGCTTGGTGCCTCTAACAGCAAAGGTTGCCTGCCTTTCTCCTGGTTATATAACCCTTATTCCAGTGCTGTGCTGGAAATAGATTCTTCTGTGAACCGTGTCTATTTGTGAACCTAGAAGGAGACTTGTCACTTTTTCCCCTTTCTCTGAATTGGGGTTTGGAAACAGAGAGACTGAACGGCTGTGTCTTTGTGGCAGTGAGCCGCTGGGTTGGCTCACGGTTGTACATCTGAAATGCACTTGTAGAAGGACACTTATTTCATGTGTAGTTGCTCCCTTCCCCCTCTGGCCATGATGCCCTGTGGTTGTGTCTGAAGTGGCTGGCAGGTTTCTCATGAAAAGCCTCAGTGTGAGCCTGCTGAAGGCTGACGGGCCCAAGCCACGGTGGCAGACTGACAGTGTGATGCCCAGCCCTAGTAACGTTATACCATAGAGAGGTGTCTGTCAGCCCCTGGCTCCTGTGTGAAATGACTACTTTGCAGGCTTCAGCAAAAGACCTGCTTGGGTGGTTGTGGCTCGTGTGAGTCAGGGTACAGTCAGCTGCTTTAGCCCATCGCTGGCTTGGCTGTTCCTCCTGCTGAGGCAGAAAGGAAACCATGTTCCTTGGAGACCATCTGTCTTGCTGTTCTCTTACCTGCTGGAAGCGAGCTTGACTTTTCTGTTCATTGCAACTCTGCAATTTCACACGTTCTGGAAAGCATTTTTTAAGAACAGGATAACTTTTCTTAGACCACTATTTTTATAATAAATGTCAATCTGATGCATCTTTCAGGTGATTTTTGTGTCAAGTATCCCATCCCTTTGTCCCTTTGAGTGATGGATAGAAAAACAGAAATTTAAAGTTGTTCTTGACTGTTGTGGGGAGGGGTGGGGGGCTGCTGCTTTTGGAGACAACTGAAAGATGGCAGAGCAAAGTTTTGTGCCAAAGAGAAGATGGGCTTGCTTCTACCTTCATTTGGATTGAAATAAGAACTGTGTCTTTGAACATCTGTTCAAGAGAGACAGCAAGATTAACTAGAGCATTTATGCTGCTTTGCAGAAGTGGGTGCCCTCTGAGTTTGCTTTTTAACATTTCTCATACTATCGTCAGAAGCCTGTCCCATTACTTCAGAGCAGTGGGTCGAATTCTGCTGTGGTCTGTTGTGGAGTGCCTGCAGATGCAGTACCTTGGAGGTCATGAGCCTGCTAGCAGCTCAAACAAGAAATACAGAAACGTACTGCTTCATAGATGTGAATTCAAGTCTTGCCAATGATCCTGAAAGAGGGACGGGCAGTGGGAGTGCTCAGGAAATCTTGCTGAAGCTATGGCTCTCTAGTTCTAAGAGCAGAATACGTGGTCCCCTCTTGCAAAGCCAGCCTCTCTATTAGGACAAAAACTCCTTCATTCTCTAGCTTCTCAAAGAGATTAAGAAGAAAATGTATCAAGGAAAACCCATATTGGACTTGCCAAAGGAAACTATTACTTTGTTTAGATCTCAATCCTTGGGATAACATTTATTTTTAACTAAAAAAAACGTAACTTTAAATCAGACTTGCTTGTGAGTCTAAGCATTTTCTGTCTTGGTGCTTATTCATCTGATACTGGAGAGAGGCTTGAAGCCTGACAGGTTTTGCTAAAATCAGCATGAAGAAACCTACTCCGTTGTTGATGACAATCTCATGGCTTTTAGTGAGTTTTAACAGTTTGTATTTCTTGCCAGCTGCACTGTCTTCCACAGCACTGCAGGGATTCATCTACATTGAACATGAGCTTTTGATGCTAAATGTTCTTGACACAGAGCTGGGAACTCCTTCCTTAAGGCAGAAGGGAGCTTGGGGGATGCAAACACTTTTTTTTTTTTTTTTTTTTGCCTTAAGGTAGAGGCCAGTAGAACTTAGATAATTAAGAATCTCTCTTCTGGTTCCCTTATGTCCAGTGGAATTTGCAACAATGCCATTTTCCTCCTTATTTTCCCAGCCTAAATAAATGTTCAACATGAAGCCAAGTCATGTTTAGTGGGGTGGGACTCCTGATTAAGTGTCTGAACTTCCTGAAACTGCAGATTGAATCCAGCCTCCCAAATTTAATCCTTAAAAATTATATCAATTCAGTTCCATGCATGTGTTATTCTGCATGACAGCAAGAAAGAACACTTTAAACAAAGCTCCTCTCTGTTCTTGTGACATGAGGTATTTTATAAATTCATTTGACTTGAGACAGTCCTGGGGTTTTTTGGTGTGGGCTTTGAAATCTGTCAAAATGATGCTGTGTGTCTGTGCACACAGACTTTCCCATAGTGCTGTGTGCTATTGGGATGTGAATCCTTGGGCTTTGAACCCCCTGTGGAGAACAGCATCTTCCATGAGAGGTGATGGGATAAGCAAGGCCTTTGCTGTAAGATGACACAAAGGGTTAATAATATGCTTTACTCTTTCCAGGTACTTTATTACCCAGATTGCCATCTGAACCCGGGATGACGTTACTCACCATCAACATAGAGAAAATTGGTCTGAAAGATGCTGGGCAGTGCATTGATCCTTACATCACAGTCAGTGTAAAGGGTAATGATTTCTGTTCCTGGCTCCTTGTTTCCAGTTTGGAGAGAGTGCATTTTTCAAAAGCTGTATTGGTTTTTTTCAACCTGCTGGGAAATATATGTGTTGGTACTTGCGTTTTCTATTGTGGACTTAAGGCTTCTGCTTTAATCAAGGGTGGAAAAATTGTGTATGTGAGAGATACTGGGAGGTGAATCACTGCATGAGACATGCTTATCCGTGCACTCCGTGGTGCCTTCCCTGTGCCGGGAGCTCGGTATCGGTGGCTTGGCAGACTGTACTTCTCTATTCCAGCTTCTTCAGCTGACTCTTAAGTACCAACCTGTTTGGACTGCTTGTACTCCCCAACACATATTGGTCCCTGGGCTTTCTGGAGATAATAAACCACAGCCTTCTGGCTCCATTCTTTCCCTGTCATTGAACTAATATTTTAGTAAAACAAAGATCACCTTCCCAAGGCTTAAGGTTTAGAGGAATGGGTGTGAAGCTGGGAAGCAGAGCTTGCAAGTGAAATAAACTATAAAACATGTTTTAGCCTCGGCAGTGAAATATTTCAGCCAAAGTCTGGTGGGCTAACAGCCCCTGCTGCTCTGAGAGGTTCCATGAATCTGGAGGAACCTCTCTGTCAGTCCAGGATAGGCAACATTAGAATTTCTCACTGCTGCAGGTGACAACATGATTGATGGCTTTTGCTTGAGGCTGAAATTTTGGTATTCAGACTCTTTCTAGTGGGAGCATCTGCCTCTTCCCCATTTTGTATTTCTTAGCAGGAAGTCCATGTAGTCAGAACTGCTTACCCTTAACCTGCCCTGCTTGACTTTTGTTCATTTTTACAATCTTTTGTGGTGTGTGATTTTTTGTTTTCTTTATAATATAAAAATTTGTAACTGAGACAACAGCCTCCAGTTATTTTCAGTTGTGATAGTGACCTTGTATGTGTCTTCTTTAGATGTGTGATTGGATACCAAACGTAGGAGTAAAACACTTGTTAGATGTGTGATCAGGTGCTTCCTCCACCGGACGAGTTCTTTGGCAGAAGGGTCACGGTGTTGAATGTCACTTGAATCCCAGTGATGTTCTCAAGTGTTACCTGCCAGAACACATAGATAGAAAGCTTCATCTAATCCCACTTCCTGTCATGATTTTTCAATGGTGAAACCTTCCAATTCTCTCTGGACCTTTGAGGAGTTCACCAGGTTGGGCTGGAAGCTGTAGCGTGACTCTTGCCCTCCCCAGCAGATGAGACTGCCTTTTTGTGTTTTCAGTCTTGGGAATGTGCAGTACTACTTTATTTATGGTGTTGCCTTAGGTTTGCAGCATTGTTTTTAGATTGTGTACCTATTCTTCAGGCTCCATTTCTCTAGACACTTGTGAATCTTTGTTTGCCTCTAGTATCCCAGAAAGCTGAGGGAGAGGCAGCTTCAGTGGTGGGGCTAGCTGGATGGATGTGGGTTTAATCAGTGATGATTTTTAGTCTATATGTAGGCATATACAGCTTGTATAAGTTGTGCCCTGCAGACCCTGTGTGGAGGGCAGCCTCTGGTGCATATCCCTCTCTGACGGTTTAGCTGGCAATTCCGCTGGAGTCCTGCTTGCAGAAGGAATGGGATCCATTGGCAGAAGAAAGAAATGTGCTCCTAAAAAGAAGGATAATTCTAAATTTTCATCTTAAAATATTGTTAGAACTTTTCCTGCTTTCATGTTGCAATCAAAAAGAAAATTCACTGACTGTGAAAGGGCATGATTGTCCTTTTTGACATTTAGGGGAAAAATCCAGGTGCGCATTAACTGTTTGTGGCAGCATTAGGAGTGATTCATAAATCTCTGAAAGCAGGATCTTAAAAGTCTGAGAAGTTTCTGCCATTCTCATGCTGATTCTTTCATGCAGATTTGAATGGGATAGATCTGACTCCTGTGCAAGATACTCCTGTGGCCTTGAGGAAGGAGGACACGTATGTCCATTTTAACGTGGACATTGAGATTCAGAAACACATTGAAAAACTAACAAAAGGTACGTAGATTCAGAGACCTGAAAGAGGGCCCAGGAGCTTTGAAAGCGTAGGCACTAGGCTGCTCCTGATCTAATAAACAGGCTGTGCCTGAGCTCTGCTGCTGCAGGGCTCGAGATCCAGACAAGGATAAAAATAGACCTTTGCATCCTGTCTCTTTCAAATCGGTCAGAGGGAGGACTAGCAGACAGGGGAGGAATGAAACGAGATAAAAATGCAGCAGTCTGCTCTGCTACGCAGGTATCGAGCTGCTTTATCACCTGCTTAGTCATTGGACAAACTGTTACCTGGGCATGAATAATTGAGAGGAGAGTACAAGCTCTTGTGAGTGTGATGAGCATTGTAAGAACACAGTGTAGCTTTTGAGTAAATAACAGAAGTGTTGGAGATAATTCCCTTTAATGTATGCAGAGCATCTTAATGGCAGATAAGTTTTCAGATAACTGTTGGCCATAATTGCTAACTTTTCTGTTAAACCATTTTCCATTCTAGGTGCAGCTATTTTCTTTGAATTCAAACACTACAAGCCTAAGAAAAGGTTTACTAGCACCAAGTGCTTTGCTTTCATGGAGATGGATGAAATTAAACCTGGGGCAATTGTTATAGAACTGTAAGTGACTGCAATTATAGATGCCGATGACAGAGGAAATGAACTAGACTTCAGTTACCATGTGTGGCTTGTTGCAGCAAGGAAGGTCTCTTGAACTCACTGGATTGACTTCCATAAGGAATATTCCATTTTTAGTAAAGAAGGGAAGATAAAATGCTTCTAGACAAATCAAATGGCTAGAGACTCTTCTCAAAACCTGGACTCTTTCCAAATAAAGTGCTGGTGTTTGTAACTAAATTCTGTATGAAATTAACAAATTATGGGAGATTTTAATTTTGACCTTAGCTTGAGTGTCAGATCATCTATATTTAAAAAAAAAAAAAAAATCAACTCTCACAATCTTTTGGTACAGAACTTCTGTAAAGGAAATATGATTTGAGACATGGGATACTGATTTGCAATTGAATTTTATTAACATTTCAAGGCATTGCTGGGTTGTTCTGGTTATTCCCCGCTCTAAGTATGCAAAGAGATAGATTAGCCAGTTATGCTGCAGTGGTTATTGTGTGCATCCTGCCCTTACTGTGGGGCTGAAGGTCTGAGTGAGGTTTTAGAGAGTTTTTTCCAGGAAGAGGGTGAACCTTGCACTTCTGCACATCTCTAGGGAGAGTGCTTAGTCTGTGCTAGCTGGAGTACTTCTCAAGTATTGAGTAATTGATACTGCGTCTCCTACAATCCAGTGTATTATATTGGGAATTCTCCTTGCAAAAACCTTATATTAATTTAAAAATGGAAATCTTTGTTTTCTTAAAATAGTAATCCAGAGAAAATACTGGTTTGAGTTTCTTCCTGTAAATATCCTTGTTATTGTTGCTTCCAGTATGTCTTGTCAGACGTATTTAAAAGATTATGGTAATAAGACCTGTACAGGACAATCTTTCTGGTGTGCTTTCATCTTCCTACACAGCCATTAACACTTGGATTAACTCACTTTCTTGTGGTTGCAGGTACAAAAAACCCACAGACTTTAAAAGGAAGAAATTGCAACTGTTGACCAAGAAACCACTTTACCTTCACCTCCATCAAACATTGCACAAGGAATGACCCTAGTTGTGAGACTTCTGTGAACTGAACCGCAAATCATGGTAGCTGTGTGTAGTAGCCTTAGCCTTCGAAGGGCAGGAAAAGGACTGTATTCATGCCAGTAGGTCAGACGGGACCATCACACACTGCACAGCACTTCACACTACTTCAGAGTCAGAGGCAAGCCTACCATTCTGCTGCAAGTCTTTTTCAGTACTTTTCCAAATACAGGTTTTTTTCTGAGAGCCCTGAAATATGTTGACTGCTTTTCCTAATTTTTGCTGTTCATCACTTTTTTTATCCTAACCGTTATTATCCTTTTGCCTCAAACTCCACCCAAGGATGGAGACTGCCCCTTTGCCAAACCTGTAGCAATAAAGATGTGGCAGGCCTACTAACCTGTTGACACTTGCTGTGCTGTTGTAGTTCCTCTCATCTGCATTTCGGAGTCCTCTGTAGCAGGCTGGGTGGCAGGAAGAGCAGGAGAAAGATGAGGTGGGGCAGGAAGGAGCTTGAGGTACTGCAAGTGATTTCAAGTGAGAGAGAGGAGGATGCGGGGTCAGGTGGGGTGGCCACAGGAGAGCTCCTGAGTCAGCTGTTCTGCTTTGGTGGGGCCAGGAGAGGAGGACAACTGCAGATGAGAACACTGAACTATGATTTTTAACAGCCTTGCCTGATCCACTCATACCAAGTTTTGGATACAATACATGTCACGATCCTTTAAATCGCCATTACTCCCTACAGAAAAATTATCTCTGTTATCACGTCACAGAGTGATTTGCAAAGGTGGATGGGGAAGAGAGAGAGGCTTTCTCCAGGGCTTCATCTTTGTGGCGGTGGGTGTGTCAGCATTTCAGTGACAGCAGGACAGGCCCCTGGGTGCTCAAGCATCAATTTTCCAGAGCTTTCGATAAACCTGGCTAGCAGGTTGACCCACCTTTTACATGAAACTGCTGTTTTTATGGAAACTGATTGTATGCAGTTTTCTGCATATTTTGTGCAAGTCTGGAAACTTACTCTAAAAATTACTTTTTTATGTAAGTAGATAGGATTATCATTTATTTTCTATATTTTTGATTTGGTGTGTAATAAGCTGCAGGACATTGGCTTATTATGACACACTTGCATTCACCTTTTGACCTAATAAAGGGACAGAAGTAGAACCCAGTCAAATCTTTCATATATTTGCGTGGATATTTAATACAATACTTTAAGGTTTGATATACTTCTTCCATATCTAACTAGTGCCTGAATACTCTGCTATGCTAACAAAAGACCCAGCTCCCAAAATAGTGTCAAATATTGGGTTTATTTTTAACAGTCTGGGTGCAGATGTATCACCAATTCCTCTTTTCTGTCATGTAACCCCAAGATGTTACATTACGCTTTAATGGGAAGGATGTTACTTTTCCTCATACTTGTCTACAGCCAGGTGTTCAGCATATTTGGCTTTACCCTATCAATTAGGATAAAAAGCTATTTTTGAATGTCCTAATCTTCTTGCCTTCCCTCTGTTCTGGTATAACTAAGGCTGAAGTTATTTAGGTGTTACGACAAAAGTCAGCAACATTTTCTTAATTCCACTAGTGGCTAGAGGGGGAAAAATAAAAAAGTGCAATTGAATTTTCCTGTTTACGGGTCTTTACAATACCCCACTGGCATGACATCCGCTACACTGAATATCAAGCCCTGAAAAGATAAGGAAATACCTCTGAATGCAGTATTCTTGATACCATACAAAAGGAAGATACACAGATTCTTAAAAAATAGATAAAAATCATCCCTTTGAACTTTGCAAAAGGATGGAGCAAAGCGTTAGTCTACAGCTGCAAATAAATCTGAGCGAGGTCAGTAGCTGTGGTCCCTGCCTGGCTCAGGTCTTTCTGACCTTCCACAAAGCTGTAGCACTGAGCGTCCTGCAATGCACACAGCCCGTCTTGCTCAGCAGAGGACAGTTCTGGGGCTCTGTCATCTTCTCGTGTCTGCTGGTGGTGCTTGTGGCCTGGCAAAAACACTTCGGTCACTTGTGTGTCCCCTCCCTCCTCCTGGTGCTCCTGAGGGCCGTTCCACCCAGCTTTCAGTTGTTACGGTGGGCAAGGGGGTAACACTAAACATCACAAAGCTTGGTGTGGGGGAACGAAAGATCCTGAATTTGGAGAACCCAACTTTCAAACACAAATGTTCATCGTTGTGCGTGTTATTAGCCAATATGCAAATTGAACACTTCTGCTTGAATTACAAACCCCTTGTCTCAGCCACTTACCTTGACTCTTCCCCAGCTTGTAGGTGTCTGTATTAACTCATTATATGAAATGTCAACTTTGAAGTATTTTTGTTAAATACACAAGTAGAGCTTTGTATTTAACTAATTGTGAATTAATGTCTGTAGAGTGTGAAATACCATTTTTAAAGTTGCTTCTCTCCTTTGTGTTTTTTGTGAACTGTTTTTCACCGAAAGGACTACTGCTCCCCAGCCCCCAAGCTCTTGTATTGTTTTATACTTCAGTGATGTTCTATCTTGTCTTTCATCTTAAATCTAAAGCTTAATACTTGTACTGTAAGAATGTAACACCTAGATGGCAAGTTTAATGGCTGCTTGTACTCTGGCAGTAAAGCTGTAATGCCCTTTCAGTAGGTTTTTTTTTTTTACAATTTCTAGTTGTTTTCCTTTTTTTTTTCTCCCTAAGGCTTACTTTTGTACAGAGCACTTCTGAAAAACCTTAGTGTCTAGATAAGTAAGGGGCCTGCTGTGCCCAATACTACATGCTCATCCTTGTATTAACACTTACATTCAGGAACTTCCTTGAACAGCTACAAGCGTAGGATGTGTTTTTAAAGCTATCCCGTGTTCGGTCTATGCAAACTGATTTGAAGCAATACAGGTTAGTATGGTTTACATACACCCACTACTATTTTTTTTTGCATGTAAGTGAAAAAGGCTGTAAAAATACAACCTTACTGCCAAGGAAGCTGAATCAGTCTTAAATATTGAGTAAGATGAAAACTCAGCTCTCAAACCTTGCTTAATGCTGCAAGCCAGTCTTGAAAGCAGAAAGCGATTATGAAATTTCTTAGTTTCTAGAGTCCTGGAACATTCACCTTTATTTCCAAACTAACTCTGCAACTTCATAAAGGTTTCCAGCTCCATGCTGCCCTTCAGCTGAGGGGGGCTATATCCCCTATTGTCCTCATTATGTGAAGCAAATCCATAACTTGCCAGAGTGGTTCAGCATAAGGGTAACACAGGCGTGAGGCTTGCAGGAGCAGCAGTTTGTCAGCCTTGATTCAGTTCTTGAACTTACAGCTGTAGCAGTCTCTGGTTAAATTACTGAACCAATGTCCTTTCTGAACAAAAAAGGGTACTGAAACAAAGCCTTCAGGGTTTAGCAAAAGGAATTTTGCTTTTTATTATAACTTTCCTTTGAATACAGTGTCATTTGCACTTCTGATCTCTGACCAGACATTTTAAAAAAAAACAAAAAAACAAACAAAAAACACCTCCCAGTCCTCAGGTAAATGCCTGGCCTACAATAACTGCAGCTTAATGATGTGATGGAGAAGGCAGGTAAGACAGCATTTTACTTAAAAATTATTTCCACAGGAAATGATTTGATTTACATTTTTCACGAAATTAGTTCATTCACCAACTGGTTACAGAGGCTACATTTAATTAAAACTAGCCACACAGGTACTTCCTTTCTATTGCACGTTTAGAGTAGGTTCAAGTCCATCACAAAAAGGTTCTTGCAGCCCAAGAGGATGGATGAGTTTAAGGTGATCATAAATGCACATAAGATGTCTGTAGCAATTGGATAAAAATTAATCCTGCCAAAGCTGAAATATACTGAAATGAGAGAAATGGCTTCAAAGCAAGAGCCATTTCCTAAAATCCTGACCGCAGGAAGTGTGCTAGTCTCCATTCCGTTGAGCTGCTGACCAGGCACTGCAGTTAGGGTTTCTGCGCTGGAGGCTGTGTAGAGTCCTTTGAGCCTGCCGCTGGTGGCGGTGGCGGAGGGCCTGCGGGGAAGTCTCTGGGTCCCGATGGAGGCAAGTCTCTGTTAGGAGAAGGCGTATAGTCTCTTGAACCCGGTGGGGGGAGCCGTGGGCCCGGAGGACCCAGGGGTCGAAAAGGAGGGTGCACACGTCCATAGCCTCTGGGGTCTGGAGGAGGTGCTACTGGGCCAGGAGGCAGATTTCTCATTCCTAAGGGTGGGCCAGGTAAGAAATCTCTTCCAGCTGGAGGTGGTAAGGGAGGACCACGAACTAGAAGGAGAGGAAAACACAGAGTTAAATGACATGTTGCTTTAACCTAAATGGTGAAGTTCCTGCCTGGTTCCTCATTTCTTAATTTTTTGGAGCAGCTCTGAGGTGGGTCACTGTCATATTCAAACTTCACAGGCCATGAATTATATACTCTGGTGACTTTTGGCTGCTGGTCTCCATTGTAAACCAAATGAGGAAAAACACCTTGGCTTTAACACCTTGCAAAACACTTTGCGGCTCTGAGGAGAAGGACTTGGGGGTGTTGGTAGATGAAAAACCGAACATGTGCCGGCAGTGTGCGGAGTTGGGGGTTTGGCAGGGAGGTGGTTCTAGACCACATTCTCACTCACTTGTTGGTTCTAGATCAGGTTCTAGAACTGATTCTAGATCACTTTATGGTGCTAGATGTCATTAAGCGGCTGATTCTAGATCACTTGATGGTTCCCAGATGGTGTTCCAGTCCAGTTTCTAGACTTGGGTCTAAAACAGTTCATGGTTCTGGATAGCATTATGTGGCTGATTCTCGGTCATGTCATTGCTCTAGATAGCGTTCTAAAGCTGATTCCAGAGCACATTATGGTTCTAGGTAGCTGAGTCCAGATAACTTTATGGCTCCGGATAGCATTCCGGAGCTGATTCTGCAACACCTTTTATGGTTCTAGATAGTGCTCTAGAGCTGTTTTCGAGATAGCTTCATGGGTCCAAATATCATTCTAGATATGATTCTAGATCACTTTTATGTTCTCAGTGGCTTTCTAGAGCTGATCCAAGAGCACTTTATGGTTCTGGGTGGCTGGTTCTAGAGCTGTTTCTAGATATCTTTTATAGTCTTTTAGAGCTGATTCTGTATCACCTTATGGCTCTAGATAGCATTCTGGGGCTCATGCTGGATTACTTTGTGGTTCTGATAGCACTCTGGAGCTGATTCTAAGGACTGTTCTAGACCGCTTATAGGTCTAGATAGTATTCTAGAGCTGATTCTAGATCACTTTATGGTTCTAGATGGCATTGTTCAGCCTGGAGAAAAGAAGGCTCTGGGGGGACCTTATAGTGGCCTTCTGGTACCTGAAGGGGGCCTACAGGAGAGATGGGGAGGGACTTCTTACAAGGGCATGTAGTGACAGGACGAGGGGTAGTGGATTAAGCTGGAGGAAG